CTCCTCAGATCTGCTGTTAATTGAGTCTTAATTAGTCCAGATTACTCTCTCCTCAGATCTGCAGTTAATTGATTTTTAATTAGTCCAGATTACTCCTCTCCTCAGATCTGCTGTTAATTGAGTTTTAATTAGTCCAGATTACTCCTCTCCTCAGATCTGCTGTCAATTGAGTCTTAATCAGTCCAGAAGAACAAAGCTGCCTTCTGCCTGTCAGGGGTGAGAGACCAGCAGCAGCTGTGATGAACACAGCACGGACTGGAGCTCGTTAACGGAGTCCGGGCTCGTCTGCGTCTCGAATTAAACAGAACCTCCTGCACTTCCGGTCCGAACCTGCAGGGTTTTGTACGTCTTCCTCAGTTTCTGCCTGGGTTAACGACTTGAAAGTGGTTTTGAACAAATGATGCTTGTTTGTTTTTATGACGAATGGAATAAAAATAAAACCCATTTTTAATTTCGACTGCTGTGTTTCATTACTGCGGGTCTGAGGGAGAGGCTTTCTATGATGTACGTTCTTGGGTGACTTGTTCTGCACCTGTGGTGTCACCCCAGGACACACCTGCGGTGTTCGTACGCTTCCTCGCTCGAGAGGAGTAGTACTGCTGAGTACCAGGAGTTTCGTCCTGTGAGATGGGCTCTGGACAGCCCTTTCAGACTTTACTCCCGTGAGCACACGGTTTCCTTATTAGTTTCTCGAGCGCTGTTATCTCCCTCTGCGATTGAGCTGTTCCCAGAACCGATAAGTTATCGCTGGATTGGCTGCCTCTCTGACCTGACGCCCGGGGTGAGTTTCAGAGGTTCACCTGCTCGCTGCTGGTGTGTCCAGTCACGAGACGCACTGCAGGAACGCTCAGGTGTTTTGTGGGTTTTTATATATATATATACAGTCTGTGGTGTCATGTGTTGAATTTGCTGTTAAAAATATATATCATTCATGTGTTGTGCAGTTTCGGTCTGGAGAGCTGGTGTTACACTACTAGTTTATTACAAAATGCCTCTCGGTCGTCATGGCAGATTGTTCCCCCTTCCTGCCCCCCTCTGTGTACAGTAGAGCCTCTTGTCCTGACTCACTGGGCTGTCCAAACACAGGACAGCCCAGTGAGATCAGGGTAAAAACACAGGACAGCCCAGTGAGATCAGGGTAAAAGCACAGGACAGCCTAGTGAGATCAGGGTAAAAACACAGTAGAGCCCAGTGAGATCAGGGTAAAAACACAG